TGGAATCAAACTCCAAAAATGTCGCTGTTTTACTGACGATTTGTGAGTATGTATGCATGCAATATTAATGTAGTAGTGTATAGTAATGTGTTCATGTTAACTACCATATCGATATCGCATGCACTCATTTAACAAATTTTCAAGAACATACATCTTTTTTATTAGGTATCCAAGCCTAATTTTATGAACTCAGCATTGTTTGCACATGTAATTCGTAGTTCCAGCTGGTTTCATTTTGTACTAATAAACTGCCAAATTTTTGTACAAAGGAAATATTGGCACACGTTGACAGCTCTAGACGCCATATTGGACTAAGAAATATTGTCATGACCCTGAGTGACCTTTAAAAGGTTTTAACTGATGGTCATTCGTTGTTAAAAAGTTATTAACACATAAAGTTGTACAAATTAACCGTAATTATTCTTTTTCAGAGAAGCATCTTTGATGACTTTGATCTTCTATGTTGTCAAGATCATAACTCTAAGTCTTTAATCAATTTTAGCCATCGGTCGTCCTTTTTTAAAAAGTTATTAAAATTATTCACTGTAATTATAATTCACTTTAGGGGATATTCAATAATTTTGATCCGGATATATGTTGTAAATACATGCAACGTAACTATAGATTTAAGAGGAAAGTGTGCAGGGAGGAGGGGCGCGGGAGTCTATCACACAGCTAATATCTATTGTAGAAATAGAAAGCAAATGCTTTAATGTTCCTGCTTGCTTAGTAAGGCAAATATTTAATAGATATTCAATTCAACATACTTTCTACCTTGCATAGGGGTCTAATCTTTTTGGTACTTATGATTTTTAGTACATTATAGATTCATTTATTTAATAAGGCAAAGATTTAATAAATAGTTCTACCTTACGTAGGGATCTCTCTAATCTTTTCAATATCTATTATTTTTAGTATATTGTAAACTCATTTATTTAGTAAAGCAAAGATTTAATAAATATTTCTACCTTGCGTAGGGATCTGTCTAATCGTTTTGATATCTATTATTTTTTATATACACAGTGCGGTCCATAAGTTCCCGGACTGATTTTTTTGCAGTCTTCCCATTGACGCCATATATCGGACGACTGTTGAACTACGTAGTTTGAACCTTGTCGAACAGCCATGTTGAATGGCATAATTTTAGCCGCAGTTGTTGAAGAGTGCGAACATTTGATATAGCCTAGTGATGTGTGTGTGTGTGTCACACGCAGAGAAAGGATTGACCAACGCAGCTAAAATATAGCCTTGGCAACTGATGTGTGTTTTTAAAATAGGGACAGCTAATATTGTTACTGCCAAAGCTAAATTTATTAGTTGTTAAAATTTAGGCGCTACAGCAAAAAATATTTGTTGAAAGAATCAAATAATGTTTAGCTAATTCTATTAAGAAATATCCAGCAAAACTTTTAAATTTTTCAGCAAAATCATTCTTTCTTCATGCCATTTTCTTAGCTACTCCTGTTAAAGAACGCTTTTATTTTAGCTAATAAAATTGTATCTC